CTGGTGACCCAAGAACAGCCTGTGAACCGTAAAGGAAATGAGTCTGTGTTAGCTTGTTTGACAGAAATCTTCATTATTTTCTGATAATTATGGCTGCTTGATAGACTGGAAATCCTCATTAGAACTGGCTAAAAATAATGTTCCTATGGTTGGACGGTTTCATTGGGACCAAATGCTTTACTGGAGCCACTGGTGTATTTCAGTTCTGGTGGGCTGTTTTAGGCTGCATTCTTAAGTTTCTAAATAGCAAGCCCGAGTTGGTAATGCCTTCCTTATAAGTGCCTGAGTTGCGCAGCCGTGTTTGTTTAGCTGTGGGGTGGATCTGGTTATCTTCAAGCCAACTGAATCCCCTTTAGGCAGAGCTAAGGCCTGGCTGGCTCAGTTATGATGTAACAGTTTAAATGATGCCTCTTTTTCCACCTTGTTTGGAAAACCAGGAAAAAAAAAACTCCATCAGGGGAAATTCTGAGTCTCTTTTCACATATTACGAAAAGCACATCATTCCACTCATTTCCTTTCTATGTGGATAATCCAGGTTATCCAGTTTAGGTTGTGAACATTTCTTCTTCTAAGATGGATAAAAAAAATAACAGCGCAATCAAACTAAATGAAAGAACTGAATATACTATTTGACTGTCATCAAGATAATTTAAACCTAACACCATGTTATCCTGGATTAGTTCTGCTCTATTCCAATAGCATGCAGGCTCTAACTAATATTGGTGCTTTTTCTGTCAGCACATTAGTCATGAAACCATGATATTCCCAGCCAAGAACAAATTAAGAATGCACAATCTTTATTTTAAGCATAATAATAATAATAATAATAATAATAATAATAATAATATTATTATTATTATTATTATTATTATTATTATAGATGGATAGCAAACAAGCTCTTTTGTATAACCCATTTATCTTAGTCTGCATGGTAACGTATGTGTAGAAGCCAATTTACTGTAAGTTCATGTCCCTCTCTAATGACTTTAGTCGAACATACAGTGAAACTCCTGCTCCTCGTACACACTGGTGTTTATGTGTGCAAAAGCAACTGTCTAAAATACATAAAATAATACTATGTTACTTTGTGACAATGAGCACTAAAGAAATAGTCAGCTGTCTTTCAACTGAGCGCGTCATAGGTGAGCTGCACCTTCACTTTCTGAACCGCAGCAAGCAGCGGTCCTCGGTCTGCTCTCTTCTCTCAGCAGTGAACTTGGTCTGCTGGCAAACGAATCAGCTCTCCGCCTGCTTCAGGTTCTGGTTAGAGTGATGCTCCAGCTCAAATCGGTTCTCTCAGGCTGAACAAGGACTGCCGTCACTGATGTCTGTCTGATTGCAGAATGGAAATGGGAATGAGATGGGAATGACCCAAGCTAGCTGGTTAAGAGTGACCATTAGCTGTGCATATTGAAGCTCTGTATATGGCTCTGTATTTCACTGAGCCCTAAATACTTATCCTGTGAAAACTTTATGGGAGACTCAGGATAGATGTCTGCACGGCAGTAGTCATGACCCATGTTGTCTCCTTTAAAAAAATATGCAAACATATAATTTATTTAAAATACACAACTCAAGGCCACATAACTTTGGAGGAGGGGTGGCGGCAAACTCTTCTATATGTCAAAATAATGAAATGGAGAGACTGCATAGTAGACAGTGGTATACATACAAGCCCACAGCAAATGAGCAACAGCTTCTGCTGGGTTAATGCAACACCACTTGAACAAACCACCTGCAGACATGAAATACTACACCAGCTCATAATATTACTGGTAATTTGTTTACTTAATACTTATGGTTATAAATCTGTTGATTATTTAAGGCAGTGGTGCATAGTTGTAGTGTAGCAATTTTTTATTTTTTTTTTTGATTTCACAATATTTGGATGGACATTTTGACTACATGCAGAGGATGTGACCCCCTCCCTGTTTATGCATTTAAACAATAGCTCCGTGATAACCTACACTTTGGGTTAGCTAATACGGTATCCTTTTTCTCCAGAGTGCTCTTATCGTGTCAATAAAGTCGTCTAATGGTGGGGATAGGGAGGTATATGTCTATAATTCATGCACTTTCTTTTAAGTCCAGTCTTATTAAGTAAGGCCCAGCCATTAGCCGGTGCCAAAATCATAAATCTAGTCAGTAACTGAAATATTAGCTGCAGTCACAGAGAAATAAACTTGTGTCCCAGAGTGAGTGACCTCTAATGTAGTAGTTTCTAGTAGTTGCTGAGGTGGTGTGGTATCCACTTCTTTATGAAGAAAAGTGTGCTTGCAGGTAGAGTACACAGAGGTCCAGTCATAGCTGATGGAAACCTTAAAAAAGTTGCACCACATCTTGCCCACGTGAATGCACAAGTGTAAGTGTGCTTGTTCAGAGTTGCTGAGCTCCCAGCGTGTGCTGTGGTGCAGGTACATCAGCACAGACCTCGCTAACGCAGAAGCCATTGTTTGCTACTGATCCAGTTTTCCTCCCAGTTTGCAGCAGTGATTCAGGATTTTTCTCAGAAGTCAGGAAATGTCTTGTTGTGGGATCGCGGGGCCATAACGGGAAAAAGACCAGTGACTAGACGAAACACGGGTCCTATCTTTTGCCTGCAGGGCTGTTTTATCTCCTTGTGAGCTAATCAAGCCCATTCATACCTTTTCTGATAGCGAACTGCTGAAATGTTTTGATGATATACACGACCCCCCTTCTTCTTCTTCTTCTTCCTTCCTTCCTTCCTTTGTTACATAATATGTTCACAGTCTGTTGTTTTTGTGTTTGTTTTTTTTATATTCTTTGAATTTCGCTGGGGGAAAATCAAACTTCTTTCTTCTTTTTTCCTTTCTTGTGCTCTTTAGCATGATCATTTGTCTCTGATTATGTTTAAACTACTAGTGGCCTCAGCCTCACGTGCATGTATGTTTCTTTTGCTGCCTGAGCTTTTCATTCCACCCACATGAGGGCTTTGTAGAGAAAACTCTTCCCAAGTAGTTGAACGTTTTCAAGCTCTTTCATCTGGACTTAAGGCTACACTGCTTGGGATCTGTTCCAGAGCTGAACCCTTGGCATGAATGTACATTGTCACTTTTACAACACGCAAGGGTTTGAAACAGTAAAGCCAGTGTTGGTAACGCCTGCTTTTTCTATAAAGTGTGCTGTTGCTGCAGTTGCACTAATAAACTGCTTTGGCTGATAAAGTGGACAATATGAGCTAATTACCAGTAATATTACACTGGTATCTATGGCACATGACACATGGCAAGAACGACTGAAATGACTTAATTCAAGGATGTCAAACTCTTTTTAGTTCGTGGGCCACGTACAGCCTTCTTTGATTGTAAATGGGCTGGACCACACTCTACTTTCTGTCAGTGTAAACTACACATGTAATCCCTGAGACATCATAATTTAAGAAAAAGAAGTCAAATTTAAATAGTGTTTCCCAGTTTCTATAATGAAAAACTTTTTTTGTCTATTACTTAATTACTCTGGTGTAGTATGAATGGCCATGGGCGAGGTCTTTATCAGCAGGAAAAGCTGTAAAACTAAAAAATACAGTTAAACGTACAAAACTTATGTCCACCTTCACATTTTATATGAATATATGTTATTTATGTGTTATTTAAACCTCTCTGACTCCAATCCAGACCAGTGGATGGGTATGGAGTCAGAGTTAGAGCTGGGCGATAGAACGATAACGATATGTATCGCGATATAACTTTTACTCGATAGAGAAATTAAGCTATCGCGATAGACCTCGCCGCTCTTGTCCTCTTAAAAAAAAAAAAAAAAAAAAAAAAAGGTCAGCCAATCCAAATTAAGTAGCGCAGAGCCGAACCAATCACAGCCGCAGCGTCACGTCGCGTGACTTGTTACGTACAGCACAAGTGCCAAGCCGCACGTGTGTTTGTTTGGGAAGCAGCCAGCGGTAATGGAGGAAATGAGTGGCCGACTAGAAAAATCAACCGAGCGTGACCGAAGAGAAAACAGATGATGGTTCCAACGCCGGAGAGATTGTCGAACGGAAGAGCCATAGAAGTTCCGTAGTGTGAAGGTATTTCGGCTATTTCAAGTCTGACAAAAAACAGAGTAGCGTGCACTGTAAATTGTGCCGAAAGCAAGTCTGGAAATACAATAAACTGGTGCATGCGTCACACTGTGCGCCACGTTATTGTTTCGGTGAAATGAATTTCTACAATACTGTTACTGTTAATTCTACTCTCTGCAGTGTTTAAATGCTTACATATACACACAGTTACTGTCCCTCCACACATACGACTCGGTTCTGCTTCTATGCCCCAGCTTTGTTTACTTTTTCCCACCGAGGCTTCTAGACTTCTGATTGGCCAACATTTCTGCACGGTTAGGAATCTAGCGCCACCTGCTGCTTTGGCATGTTCATAGCAGCGTTTTCCTTCATTTCTGCCTTTATGTGTGGACGGGATTATTTTTTAAAACGAAAACGGAAAATCTCCGTTTTCAAAAATACCCGTGTACGTGTGGACGTAGCCTCAGTCTCTGACTGGAAGCGCTAATTCGTCATTCGGCTTTTGTCAGACTAAAGTAACTGTTAAAACTGTTTGAAAAGCTCAGCTATACAACAAGGAGAGATTGAGAATTTCCTTTTAGTTCTCAGTTTATTTGATATTGACAAAAGTTAGTCAGTTTTGTCTGTTCTTCTGTAAAACAAACTAAGATTTATTTTTAGAATTAATATTTTGTTTCTAAGTGGAATTGACAATTTAGTCTGTTTCGTTTGTTCTATTTTGAAACTTAAACGCTTTAGCGGCTGCCTTTTGTGTAGTTTGCAATATTTGCCTTTATTTATCTGAAAAAGTCTCATGTTCCTTAAGTACATCTACCCTGTTGAACTTATTATGGGAAATAAATATTTAAATAAAAACAAGCTGCTGATTATTTCACATTTTACTTGTGAGCAACGGCACATTTAAATCTTACAAATATAGTTATTTGGCTTATATCGTGATAGATATCGTTATCGCCTGAAATGAAAAAAACATATCGTGATATGAAAAAATCTTATATCGCCCAGCTCTAGTCAGAGTTTTGGAGGTTTAAATAATATATCCTCTTTGAAGTAGTGGCTAAACAATACTAGATTTGATGTTGAGAAATCCTTCCTGCATTCTTAAATTTTAAAGTTTGAGCAACATGCCATAAAGGTAACTCTGTCACAGGCAGCATATTAGCAGATGATATGAGTTGGGAAAGCTTGGTAGATACTCACTGTCACAGTATTAGATATGAAAAAGCAGCCTGAGGCATCACTAACATGTGCAAACAGCACAGGCTGTATCAAACAGAACCATGTGGTTCTGCAGCTGTTAGCCCGGCAACGACTGTAAACACTTTCGTGAGTTTCACGTAGTTGCTGGTAGGGAGCAACAGCAGTGGCTGCAGTGGCTCAATACATGCTTGCAAAAGTATGGGTCCAGTTTACTATCTGGAGCACATTGAGCACTTGTGAACATGTTTGTGTGTAAAACTTTAAATTCAAGAAATGTATTGGCCATGTATTTGCCACAAGCTTCCATGTCCATTACTTTAAAAAAGCACAGCCTTTTGAAAACGCCTCTTTGATACACCCTGCCATTGGTTACACATTAAAATACAGTATTGAACAATCTGCTTAGTTACCAATCATGGCGACAACACCTGACTCAGAAACATCATCCAGTCAGCTGCGGTGCTGCAGACAGGGATGAGGCTGTAGTAAACCAGTGAGTCGGAGCTGCTGTGCACAGGCAGGGCTGTTTATTTTGGCGCATATGTGATAACACTTACGTGGATAGTAAAAATAAACTAAAAATACTGGCTGACTGATGGAACGGTCTGGCTCTATTTTGACATTAGACCTTTTTTGTTTGCTCTAAAGCAGACACTTGGCACGCCAGGAATAATGTTACTGTCATCCTTCTACATGTATTTATGTAGTGTAGTACTTTTATGGTAAGTCTGCCGTGACAGTCGTGGTGGTGTGCAATCCCTTTCCAGTTCATAGAGTATGTGTAATCGTACCTCAGATACAGGTGTGTCCACGCCCTCGTCGTTACCTGAGGGCTGCAGTATTTGTGGTGGAAACACTGTCATGGCCGCGTAGAATACAGCACAGGTTGCAAACAGGACGGGCAGAGTGTAGCTTTTATAATCTGCTTATATTCTGTTTCTATGAGAGTTACTTCACAAGCTGAATGCATGGAGTGAAGACTTGCAAGGTCAAATTTTAGCAGAGGACCGAATCAACAGACGTAAGATAATAAACGGAGCATATTATATTGTTGTGTTTGACTGTGTGGAAGCATAAAATTAGTTTAGAAAGCAGTCAGAGTGACAGTTTCAAAGGAAATTCCTTTGAACTCCTTTGTTTCTGTTATCTGTTATAGTTTATTGATTTATGTTAAAATTGAAAGGAAAAGAAAACACAGACAAAGAATTTCTGGGTGTGGCCTGTATCCTGGTGCTATTTTAAACCTTCCCTGAGGTTACCTGCTGTCAGTCGAGCTCCTACCTGGCAGTGGGGAGAAAACTTTCGCGGCGTTCTGATTATGGAGTTTGCACATGTCTGTCTATATCTTTGGAAACGTTGGTGTGGAGTGGATAGTACAGATACTTCCTGCACATCAGCGGACCGATGTGCACAATCTGATCTTTGTTCTTTTATTGTTTCTGTTGTCTTGCAGGATAGTATGGCCATGACGGGAGGGACTGCAGCTGCCCTTCCCATGAGCAACCACACCCGAGAGAGGGTGACAGTGGCCAAGCTGACACTGGAAAATTTCTACAGCACTCTGCTCACCCAGCACGAAGAGCGTGAGATGAGGTACTGCATAGAACTTTTTATTCCTTTACTAACTGAGCATCATACCATTTAAATGCTTAGGTTATGCACGCATCAAGTGTCCCTCCGACTAACCACTGGAAAAGCTAACAATGCAGACACGTTTCATCCTAGGTGTGAACACAACACAGGGAATCTGACCACTTCTGTTCTCACGTTACCTGAGAGTCGATCTTTTGTCCAGGCGTCACAGTTCAGTGGCTCCTGTAAAAGAAGGCTGGGTCCCTGTTTACACCCCTCCATAAACAGGGGGGGATTCATTTTCAAGATTTGACACGTCCGAGGTCATCGAATCTCTTCCTGTTTTTCTTTTGTTTTTTCCCCCCTTTTTTCATTTTTCCTCTCCGCTCTAATTTGTGTATCACGAGGAAGCTTGTGTGTTATTTGCATTTTTTTTTTAAAGGAATCTATTGTTTTTATTCATAGGCAGAAAAAACTGGAGAAGGCCATGGAAGAGGAAGGTTTACCAGATGAGGAGGTACAGTACGCTTTGTACTTTAGTTACATAATTCCTACTTTTCTCTTTTCGTTCTTAGACTTATTCACAAATCTGTGTTTTCTTTACAGAAAGTAATGCGGCGCTCTCAGCATGCCCGAAAGGAGACAGAGTTTTTACGACTGAAGAGGACACGACTCGGTTTGGATGACTTTGAGTCCCTAAAGGTCATTGGACGAGGTGCTTTTGGAGAGGTACATTTAAACAAAAAACGAAAACAAAACTCGAGCCTCCAGGATTGTGGGACTGTAATCAAAAAGGTGTCTCTTTGTGATTTTGACTGATGCTGTGTCCCTCAGGTGCGTTTGGTACAGAAGAAAGACACAGGCCACATTTATGCCATGAAGATTTTGAGGAAAGCAGACATGCTGGAGAAAGAACAGGTAATGCGTTTGCCTGCGTCACAGTTCTCCAGGATAATAAGCCATACTTGTTCTGCTGCATTCAGGATCCTGTATCTGCGCTCTCCCCGTAGGTCGCTCACATCCGGGCAGAGAGGGATATTCTGGTCGAGGCAGATGGTGCCTGGGTGGTCAAGATGTTCTACAGCTTCCAGGACAAGAGAAACCTCTACCTCATTATGGAGTTCCTGCCTGGAGGTTAGTACTGGCAAAATCCACAGACCATCTCAGGTCACCTGATGTTAGGATCTCAGATCTAAAAGGTCTGACCTTTTTGCCAGGTGACATGATGACACTGCTGATGAAGAAGGACACTCTCTCTGAAGAGGCCACTCAGTTCTACATCGCAGAGACAGTACTGGCCATTGACTCCATCCACCAGCTGGGATTCATCCACAGAGACATCAAACCGGACAACCTGCTGCTGGACTCCAGAGTGAGAACAGAAACACAAAAGCACATGCAGATTCACAGAGACGTTTCCAGATTTCCGATATCATAATCTGTAAGATGCAGACTCCTTAATTAAATGTTCATTTGCTCACAGGGACATGTGAAACTGTCAGATTTTGGCCTGTGTACTGGGCTGAAGAAAGCTCATCGCACAGAATTTTACAGGAACCTGACGCACAACCCGCCCAGTGATTTCTGTGAGTCACGAACATGACATCCTCAACAAAATAACATAACAATAATTCTGGCAAAACTATTAGAAACAAAACTTTTCATGTAATTTTTTTTTAATGGTTGTTTTTCTTTATTTTTCAGCCTTTCAAAATATGAACTCCAAGAGGAAAGCAGAGACCTGGAAGAAGAACCGGAGACAGCTGGTATAATTTTGGCATTTTACTAGACAAATTATAGGAGAGAGGAATGGCACTCCTGAATTGAAGTCAGAAAATTGACTGATTGTGTCAGTGACAGAAGTAACTTTTCAAAAATCGTATTATTATTAAAAATTCTATAAAAGCAGAAGTTTTGGCAGCTTGTTTGCCTGTAGGATGGTGAAAACCAGGCACAGCATATCAGCACAAACACCACACGCCAACTGTCATGAATGTTAAAGGAGGTGTGATGTGCAGCCACAGTACCTGCACACCTTGCAGTCAATGAGTGGGACTTGAACTCCTCCGTATACCAGAATGGAGTCAAAGTTTGAGCTAAGTGGGTCATACAACAGGATGATGATCCCAAAGGAAAAGAATCAAGGTGTTGCAGTGGCTCAGTCAAAGTCCAGACCTCAGCCTGATTGAAATGCTGTGATGGGATCTAAATAGAGCTGCACTTAAATGAACTGAAGCAATGTTATAAAGAGTCAGACAAAATTCCCCTTCAACAATGTGAGAGACTGATGAAGTCATACTGAAAATGAGTACTTCAACTTATTGGAGCTAAAGTTGGCTGTTGAATCACAGGATGTGAAAACATTTTTTTTTTTCACATGACTGTAAATGAGAAGCTTTCAAAGAAAAGAGTAGGTGTACTACAGACAGCAGAATGATAAAGAAAGCATCTCCCTGTTACAGTAAACTTGATGTTATTGTTTCTACGTTTCAAGGTAAAAACCTTCACCTCTCATCTGGTGTGACTTTCAGGCTTATTCCACTGTGGGAACGCCAGACTACATCGCTCCTGAAGTGTTCATGCAGACGGGGTACAACAAACTGTGCGACTGGTGGTCTCTGGGTGTGATCATGTATGAGATGCTCATCGGTAAGCATGACACACACAGAGGGCACCAATATAGGACGATTTGAAGAATTGCATTTACACAAATACAATTTTTATGGGCGTTTATGTAAATTGATAGCTTACAATGTTATTATCAAACATCTGCTGTCAATGGCAAAAATGCAGTATATGGAACTTTGTGAGCAGGATTTCCTGAACTTACAGAAAGTACTGGAACCTGAGCAGGGACTTTTTGTGGAAGAAAAAATAATTTCCCTGGAACTTTATTTAGATCCAGGTCCCTGTGATGGAAATGTAGTGATTCTCGTAAGTTTCTGGTTCCTTGAAAAAGTTCCTGCTGTGAAAAATGGCCACTGTTGGGTTAATATTTCAAAGACTCTTTCATGCTTTGCAGCTTTTAAATGGATGTAAATGAAAGAAAAACTGAAGTACCCTCAGGTTCTTGCCAGACAATCATTAACTCGGCCGGATTATCCTGTCAGAAGAGTCAGTAATATCAACTGCTCTGCCACAGATGTTATAACATACTTGTTGGTTCTCTATCAGGTTATCCGCCCTTCTGCTCAGAGACACCACAGGAGACGTACAGGAAGGTTATGAACTGGAAGGAAACACTTGTCTTCCCGCCTGAAGTTCCCATCTCAGAGAGAGCCAAAGACTTGATATTAAGGTATAAACTGTATGTTTGGCTAGACTGAGCCTTTATTCTCAGAGGAGAAACTGCAGCTTGAGCTGCTTTTCTTTCCCTTCATTTCACTGTAGTCGATCTGGCTAACTGTGATGATAATTAGAAGCTAACAAATTTCTGTCATTGAAGCTTCAACACTTTTTTGGGGTTATTTTCCTGCCTGTGTGTTTTAGATATTCAGAAAAAAATTTAAATCTTACACAAACTTGCAGCACAAAGAACAACTTTGGTTCTCGTGATGATGACTCTGATGGAAGCTACAAGCCAACATGTGTGGGTTAAGCAGTTACATTGTTCCTTATTCTACAAGTACTACTGGGGATGTAACCTCTTCATATCTCTTCCTCGTGAAGCTTGGAAGCAGGTGAAGTTATGCCAAGAAAACCTCTGCTGTGTTTTAGGTTTTGCACAGATGCAGAGAACCGGATCGGAGCTGTGAGCGTGGACGAGATCAAGAGCCACCAGTTTTTTGAGTCGGTGGATTGGGAGCACATCAGGTACAAAAGAGCATATCTGCTGCTTATGAATGCAGTCCCCTCGGGAAAGTGAAAAACGCAATGCATCTTATTTCTATTGATGATTCTCTACAGGGAGCGGCCAGCCGCCATCTCCATAGAAATCAAAAGTATTGACGACACCTCTAACTTTGATGACTTCCCTGAATCGGACATCCTTCAGCCAGGTTTGTTTTCCGAAAGCTTTTCTGTCGCCGCTAGAGGAAAATCCTGATTAGGAACACTAACTAGCCTTTCATCAGATTCAGACATCGCATGACAAACCACAGATGAGTCATTGCAGTTCTCAACAAAAGCAGAAGTTGTAGTCCAATTTAACATTTCATCATTTCTGTAAGCTCTAAGAAACAACTGTGTTATATCTGTCTTCCACCTTTCTGTATTTCCTGTCATAAAGCACCCACGCTACAAAAATGTTGCGATACTGTCTGAAGCAAAAATAAAGACACAATGCAGTAATTTTTTACATTTACTTTATTGATCCTATAACACGGAGTGAATGTGGTGGATTGTCCATGATTAGAGCAGTTTGTTCAGTCCCCTCACTGACTTAAATGCCTCCAGATTTTGGCCAATGATGGTGCTGGCTTGGCTAAGTTTGTCAATCCTGCTCGTTAGGAAAACGACACACAATCCTGGTTGGGATGTTGGAATCAGAAGTTTAAATAGTTGATGCCATTGATGTCATCCCCATGTGGATCTCAGTGCACGTGTCAGTCTGTAGTGTCAAAGCAGCCATGCACGGCCTCACCTCGGTAGCTTGTTGACTCCACCGCCCCACAGACTTGGTGACAACAAGGAGTCTTTGAACTGCAGGGACACACTGAGGTGTTAACAGGACCAGCTTGTGGGCTGATCTACATAGTGAGGACCAGGCAGAGTCTTTTTTTTTATTTTTTTATTTTTATTTTTTTATGAGTTTGTGTTGATACACAGACGGTCCAGTTTTATTGTCGTGTGTTTTACAATCGACATACTACTGAGAAGTTGGAAGAGTGGGCACGGTTAGTCATGGTTAGTTGTCACTGATGGTGATGAAAATCTCAGAGTGTAGTAGGAGCTGGTTTGGAAATACAGAACCATTCCTCTCAGTGCATTCATGTGTTTGGAAAAGGACATGGATCAAAGGACTAGGTGTTCATTCTAAACAATTTCAATGGGCTGACCACAACAGCTTTGCACTTTAAATGTGCGTTGGCTCAGGGAGAAGTTCCAGGATCTTGCTCACCTATAGCTTCTTCTTTGAGAGATAGAGCTTTAACCTGTATTTGTGGATGGCATAGTGAACTGTGTTCAGAGAAGATGATTTCTGGAAGTGTTCCTGAGCCCGTGCAGTGATTTCCATGACAGTCATTCCTGATTTTAATGCAGAGCTCCCTGCGGGCCATGTGCATCCACTGTTGATTGTTAGCCCCGTGCACACAGACATTTCTCCAGATTCTCTGAATCTTGTGGTAATATCATGTACTGTAAGTTAGATATTCAAAGTCTTCACCGTTTTACTGACCTGTAGCCAATTTACTCTGATTACTTGCAAAGTGTTCCTCCAACTGTTTCCTTTCAGTGCCATTTACGTTTGTTGCCCCATCCCAAATATTTTGAGTAATGTTGCTGCCATCAAATTTAAAATGCGTTAATATTTTTCATGAAACACTAAAACATCTCAGTTTAAACATTTTACGTTTCATATGTTCTAATGTGAGTAAAATGTGGGTTTTTTGATATTTGCAAATAATTGCATTCTGTTTTTATTTATATTTTATACAGTTTTTATGAGCCAAAAGCTTAGGATTGAAGGTATGTCATTCAGAGTGAATATCTCTAAAATGGTCAGCAGCTTCACCCACCTGCTGGTCAGACCTTATGTTTGCAAAGGGCAACCAGTCAGAACACAGCTGGATTAAAAGGAAGAAGAGCTAAAATGGCTTGTTTCAGATACAGACTGAGGGGCTCAGTCTAAATAAGTCATATTTTATATTGTAATGTGTTAAAATATATGAGGGGGGATATCATTGCATAGTCTGTGGTGCCCCCAAGTGGTAAATTGCTTTTGTTGTTTGTCTTTGTGAAACAGCTAACGCAACGGAGCCAGACTTCAAATCAAAGGACTGGGTGTTCCTCAACTACACCTACAAACGCTTTGAGGGCCTGACTCAGCGAGGGACCATCCCCACATACATGAAGGCAGGGAAGGCTTGACGCACTCAAACGGGTGGACGGTGTGGTGGAGAAAAATAGACGTTTACGGACACAGGGTCGGGCCCCGGAGCCCCGCTGGTGCTGAAGGCTGCGCTGTCAGCCTCTCAGTCTAAATTTAACCTTCATCATAAGTTATTTAGGTCTGCTCAGCCGCGGCAAGAAAGCCAAGAACTCGGAAATTAAAGAGCATTACCGCATTACCTCGGTTGTTGATATTACACGTGCCGTCTTTAGCCATAGCACTCAGGCCAGCTCACTAACTAGGACACTAAATCAGCATATCTGCATGTTCAGCGGCATACTGCTTCTGGAGAAGTTGTTTTTTTTGTTTGTTTTGTTTTTTTATATATATATATACACGAGAACAAGGCTTGAATTCAAATGACTGCTCAAACTTTTTAACATAAGTTTTTACACTGGTGGCTAGTCAGATGCAAACTGCATTTCTGATATTGAAAATGAGCTCTATACACTGTAGTCAAACTCTGGATGATTGGTAAAATCAGGAACCCCTCACTTATTGTATCCAATACTCTGTTATCAAGTTCCAGCATGATTTCCAGTGGGTTTTTTTGCTGACTTTCCAAAGTGTAATTAAGAGTTAACCCCAACTGAAGAATATAGGAGCCAACTGTCTAGTGGTCAAACAAAAAAAAAGGGGTTTTTTTAGAACTAAAATATTAGCTCACAAAGTTGTAATGGATCCCAATTAAAGGTCAGTTGATATCAAAACTGTAAAACGGCTTAGGTTAACAGCACAAGCTATGTGTTTGGATAGTTGTGCTGCTGGCTCAAGGTATAGTTGGTCCAACAATGATTGGACAGGTGTAACATCGTCTAGTGTCATCATCGGGTCAAAGTTTATGCGACAGAGGCCTCTAAAGTTAGCGATAGCTGCAGCATTCTCACAGTCTCAGCTTTGCTGTCTTATGATAATTAGCAAATGTTAGCATGCTAATACACTAAACCACTGTGGTGAACACGTTAAACATTTTAGCATTGCCACTCTGATGTTAGCATGTAACACCACTGTAGAGCATTCTTTACACTTAAAGTGTAACAAAAAAATTCTCTCTATATATAAAAAGTGACTTTGCATTCACAATCTAGCTATTAGCATTTAGCTGTTAGCCTGGTTCAAAATCAGTAGCATCAAAAGGATAGAAAATCTAAAAGAAATGAGCAAAAAACTCAAATCATGCTGGAACCATCCTCTAACCCTCGTGCTAGTGAAACCGTGTGAGTTTGTGGCAGCTCAGCGAGGGGAACCCAGTCTGCAGCGTCGTCTCAGCACAGTTGCTTTTCTCGCATAAGAACAGCTTGTTGCCAGGAAACAATGAAATGCAATTTACCCTGTGCTGGACATCAGTTTCTGCAGCGTGTTGCCCTATTTGCATTGCCAAACAAACTGCTGAGCGTGCCCCTTCTGATCTGAGTTTTGGTCAGATCAGTGCTAAAGTACTTGTTATTTCCTCTGATTTATTTGAAATTCTGATCAGTGCACGGGCCAATCGCTTCTTTTTTTCTTAGGTCGACAAAACATGCAAAGTGCCTTTTCATAGAGCTGATAAATATTTAACCAGATATATAGGTGAGACCAATAAGACGGCATTCATTATAACCAACTGTTTTGACTCAAAGTGGAAAGGAGTAAGCGAAAGCACTGATGTTTCGATTTGATGTGTCTGCAGAGTGATAAGGCATATCTGTGGTGATAAAGCAGTAAGAAACAACAGGACTATAGAAAAGCAGGTGGCTTATAGGTTAGGTAATAAACGGGAGACTCATAAAATATGTGTCAAGGAAAACACAATGAACAGTTTGTCTTTGTTTGACAAGTAAGGATGAAAGTTGTAGATTAACACAGTGGATCTTTGTGTATTCAAGTTCCTGCATTTTTTTTTTTTAAATGTCTAGAAAAGGATACCTTTTACCATGAACAGCAGATCTGAGGCTGTTTTCTCACTTTCTCAACAAGACATTTAAGCTTCATGTGTGCTCAGAGTTGGGACAAGGCACAGTGCTAAAAGATGCTTACCAAAGAACTCTGACCGTCACAAATTCACATGTAGCTGTCGCTTGCTGCACTTAACTTAAAACTACCTGCAAAGAAGGGGAAAAAAAGGGTTCCAGGAGAGCTAAACTTGGTTATGGAATAAATTGCCATTTCTATTTGTACACATGTGAGAAAATGAATGTGCGGGAGATTGATGTTTCTCAATTAGGATATCTATAGGTTCACCCGCAGGGAAGGGAAATCTACTGAGGACTTTACCGCAGTTCAGCCGTAGCCATCACAGGAATGAATCCTTTATGAAACTGAAAGTGTTCCTTATTTCTGAGGGATGACGGAGACGGTGCGTCTACAACTGATTGATTTCATTTATATTTTTCCCCTTCCCCTTCAAGCTAGTCCTGCTGAAAATGTGATGACACATATGATGACTAATGAAGGATTTTGAGGGCAGATGCGTGTATATTTTTTCTGTTATTTATTATTTCCTTGTTTTTCATTAAAATGCTGATGAATTGGATTCATTGGGAATATTCAGTATACTGAAAAAAGGATGGGTTTTTTTTTTTTTTTAAATGTTGTTTGACCTCAAATGTAAAGGGGTATTAAACTTGATGCCAGGATATACTGTAAACCTGACATATTCTATAATGCAACATATGATGTGGTGTTTTTCTATCTCCCAAAGCTTGTGTCTTCCAAACTCTGTACCGCCTGTTTTTAAAGTTCATAGTCTGGTGACATCACTGTGACATCATCAGAGTAAAGTGTTCAGACTTCTCCCTCTAGAAAAACACCAGACTACACTATACTCCTGTCCAAAAAGGGAGGCTAATACTCCCTATGAAAATTGGTGATGCCCTTGAAACACAAGCCAAAACAATCTGCATCATATCACACAGTCAACCCTATGGACTGTTTTTAATTGACATGGATGGGGCTAAGACCTGGGTACAACAGGTCAGGAGCAGGACCCATACATTAGAAGCAGATTGTGTTTGCTGATGGCTACCGCTGCACATTCAAGGTTCTGTCTAATCACTGGAATGCTCTGACACAACCTGGGTATCAGCGCCCGAGTGGTGTATTCAGAGCTTCCTGTTTCACAGCCAAACAGTAGAGGTTGTTCATGGTAAGCTAGTCTGTGAGTGTGTGTGCAAATGCACGAGTGATTAAAAATGCAGTTTTTGTTAAGTAGATACTTTCTGGTGTTCAGTGTCCTAACTCTGTTTTGTGATAGATTTTTTTTTTTTTCTTCATAAAAACTGAGGGTAAATCTTCTATTGGTATCCATACAATTCTTATATATACATAATGACTTGAAATCCATTACTGTGTCACTTTATCTAAAGGGAATAGAATTATTGTGACTTTTTCACGAGGTCGAGTTCATGAAATGTTTCACTTTTATCGTTCATTAAGCCAGACAATTTGTTTCTGATGGACCAAACCAGCCTAGACGACTCAGCCTTGGTGTCAGACACGTCATTGTTGCCCAATATTTTAAGAAATATATTTAACATTGACTAAGAAAGCTTCCGAGTGATTTGGCAAATAATTTGAAATTTTCCCTTTGATGAGGCAAATTAAGGTTCTCAAACCACCCTCCACAGGCCAATACTGTGTCGTGCGATATTTTGTGTAATGATGTGTACATATTGTTGTAGACACTTGAAGGCAACTGTGTGGAGTTGAAGAGGAAATGCTCATTAATATATTCATTCACATCATTGAGTTTTTATGTTGATAAAATGCTTAAAATAATAAAATTAAACACTTCATGTCTTAAGATTTGTTCAATGTTTGGGGGGGGGGGGTTCATACTGGATGATAAATGAATGCTTGAACTCTAATCAGACTAAAGTGTGATCACACATTGATAAAAATGGATTGTTAGTGTTTATTTAAACACCTAAGGCTAAAACAGCAGGGCTTCCTGTGTGCCGCCTGTGGAGAAGGCTGCAAAATGGCTCTTGAAGAACATAAGGTGTGCTTCTGTCCATGACTGCGAGTACTATAACTTTTGCAGCGCTGACCTGGGTCATCGTTTTAAGTTACAGCACTGAGCGGGGTCACTGCACAATGGATAATCAGAACTTTCAAAACTTGAACTTCAAAAAGACATTTCCATCAAACTCTTATAATATATAGAGCAGGCGTAGGCAACTCGAGGCCTCAAGTGCTGGGGTCGTGCAGGTTTTATATGTCACCCTGGGTCAACACACCTGAATCAAATGAATAGTTCATTACCAGGCCTCTGGAGAACTTCAAGACATAGTGAGGAGGTATTTTAACCATTTAAATAAGTTGTGTTGGATCCAGGACACATCTAAAATCTGCAGGACACCAGCCCTTGAGGCCTGGAGTTGCCTACCCCTGATATAGAGGCACAAGCAGTGTCAATCCATTGTCTTCCTGCTATGATTATTGCCGCTACTAGAGGGAGCTCTTGTTGCAGCTTTACTGCTGATCAAAATCTTATGAATGGATGTTGTGGTTTAGCTAGCTAGCTACTGAAGCTACATGTTGTATACACTGTATAGATAGCTGTTTACACTCACTGGGCACTCTGTTCCACCATATTCAAAAGGTGCTCTATTGGATTTAGATCTGGTGACTCTGGACACCTTAAGGGTATAGTAAGCTCCCCTTTATCACCAATAAACCACTTTGAGATGTTCTGAGCTGTTGATGTGTTGCATTGTGCTCAGTTGGTTCTGAGGTACCCAAAGTTTGTCGGTGGAGGAGTGACACCCAGTGTGGTCTTCTGCTGAAGCCCATCTGCTTTACAGTTTGATGTGCAATAGATTCAAATATGCTCGCCTACACACCTCAGTTGTAGCGAGTGGTTGAGTTATTATTGCCTTCCTATCAGCTTGAAGCAGTCTGGCCATTCTCATCTGACCTCTGATATCAAGAAGACACTTTACAATGAGAAATGCTGCTCACTAGACATTTTCTCTCTTTCAGCCCATTCTCTGTAAACCTTACAGATGGCTATGTGGGAAAATTCCCAGCAGAACAGCAGTTTCTGAAATACTCAGACGTCTGGCACCAACAACCACGCCACATTCATAATCCCCTTTTTCCTCGTTCTGATACTCGCTTTAAACTTCAGCAGGTCGTTGTGACCATGTCTACATGCCTAAATGCACAGAGTTGCTGCCATGTGTTTGGATATTTAGATATTTGCCACCTTAAAGTTAACTTTAGGGATGTATTGAACAGCTTTTTGATTGCACATAAAAGCAATCTTTCTAAATCTGGTCTATTTAGATTATTTTGCAGGTATATTATTCACGAACAGCTTAAAACATAATGATTATTGCTTACTTAACTGTATGGAGATTAAAAATAACATTTGTATTTGCTTCACTGTACATTTTATGTTTTACAACCAGTGATGCAGACCTCTCCTGCCATCCCACCACAGTGCTTTCCCTATTGACTCCTGAACACGAGCCAGGCCTAGAATAAGATAAGCCAAGAATTCACCTTTTTTTCCTCCTCCCTGCAAAAACACAGTTGTGTTAACCGGGTTTTTCTATAATCCCTTACCCCGATTAAGAAACCGGGTTCCTGGTGTCCATGAAGAAATCAGGTTACTGCAGAGAGCTCACAACAACTAGGTTATGTAAGTTCTCGTAAGTGCACCTGATGCAGGGATGATATTGCCATGTCACAACCCAGTTATTATCGTGCATCCATAGTTGTCTACCCGTTAAGTAGCTGCTTTATATTTTTTTCTTTTTTTTAATAAATAGAATTTGAAGTTTAAAGTTTAAGACATTTGTATTTTAAATTATTTATGCTGATTATTAAGCATGTTAAGCAAAGTAGGATGGCAAAACCTTGGAAACACATCCTGAATTAGAGGTTAAAGAGCCCTTACCGAAGCAGTGTATCTGCATGTGGGCTGATAAGGTTGTTTTACTGCTGCGTGAGGGTAAAATTCACACCACATTACTGGTGGAACATGGCACCATGGTGAGAAAGATGTTTTTTTGTCTTTATGATTATAACACAGAGGGGGTCACAAGCAGGATAGCAAGCCAAGAGCCAACAGAGCCAACAAAATAGCCTGTTATTAATAAATTAATAAAAAAATTAATAAAAAACATACACATCCAGGGCCGAAAACAGACCGCCAGGACTCATATAGGTTTCCATGTGTGACAGGAGTGAATACGATACAAATAAACAACTGAAAAGCACACCTGCCTGCTTGCAGCGACATCCAACAGAACCTCTCATTACAAACTGGGCTATAAAAAGTCATTTTCGAAGCTGTGCATTTTTGATAGCTTTCCACTTTAACGTCATATAACCGTCACTATCCCTGCCTAAGCGCGTATAATGTCGTGTGTCTCGGCGTCTTAAGGTGTTTCCTGTCCACTTGCGATGTTTCCGGGTGTCTAAAGTGCACGGGGACACTACTTTCCCTGCCGACGGGCTTTAAATGGGTTAACGAGCCAAGCGCCACGTGACTGTCCAGTTATATAATATATAGGTCAACACGTTTCTCGCTCGCACGTGCAGCCTTCCCCCTTACGTAAAGTCTCGTGCAAAAGTCTCGAATTACACTATGTAGGTGAGAGCCAAAGATCGTCGATATCTGCGATAAAGAATTACTGAAATCTTTTTTTTTATCTCAAATTTTGGGGAATTTTGGTGTTAGAATAATTAGACTTTTATATTTAACACCTTTGCCTCTGCCTTTGTTTAAATAAACAAAAATAGATTTATTTAAAGTATTCTTATAAAACAAGGATATGAGGAAACCCCCAAATTACAGACATTTTCACCCAGTCTTAGCCAACTTTCTACCTTAGCTTAATGTTTGCACATATTCTAGCATTAAGATCACAGGTGAGTGACGTGAACAACAGAGACCCCTACTCCATTGAAAGGACACTACCCGACAGCGGTGGGGTGATGTGTTTGCTTCCACATCACCCCAAAACATCTCCCCAAACAATCCCATCAAGCATCCATAACATGTGCTGGGATAAGCCTGGTCCACAGATACCCCAACCCCCGTTTCCAGCAGCAGGGCAGAAGGGAATCAAATATTACATGGGTGTCAGACTTAAGGCCCAGGGGGCCATGATTTTAACACCCGTAATATAATGGGTATGTTTGTTTTTTTGAAGTTGTTGCTGATGTATGTACATGTGTTTATTGTGTGTACACGTTCATGCTTGGACATAACGGTTTTCGGTTTCTTCTGATGAAAGAGGAAACGACTTTGTAGTTTTCAAAATCTCAGTCTAGCAGGACCATCTTGGTTTAATCCCATATACTCCTTCAATGTTAGCCCATGAACGCGATCGTGTTGGTTCCAGGAAATAAGTTCAGAGTGAGACATCTGTCGCGTGGCAGCTCTGTTTGGAGGAACGCGAGAGAGTAGCAAAGTCAGATCGGTGACGCGCACTTGGTACTTTTTCAGGTCACCAAAACGTGCGCTGCATCGGGTAAACCAATCCCTCACCGGTCCTGTCAAGCCAAGGCCGGCTGTATGAATGAGAGCTCGTTTATTAGCGCCGTCACGGCGTCATCCCACGTTTCCTGGCAGACCATCCACTTCCTGACAGACTTTTAACATATCCAAGGTGTGCCAATGGAAATTCAAGTCTGTGCCACTATTATTCCCAGCATCCAAATGCCAAAACAACGGTTTAAAACGAAGATAAACCCCTTTACAGTAAAAGCTGACATTTTTAAGTGCGTTTTCAAAACAGCGGTACATTCAAATAACCGATTTCCTACGAATGTTATCGTCACGCAGCGAATAGGTTATTTTTGACAGATTTTTTTCTCCATTCCGACTAACGTGACGCTGATTCATGACTTCTAGTCGCGCTGATATGAATGGACTCAGCAGCTTATAACACCGTCGAGTGAACACGGCTGTGAATGAAGCGAGCAGGCGATTAAGGAGGAGACAAGTGTGAACTCTTCCCTTGTTTCCTAAAGGACCTGGGTGTTCCACTCTCACCCATCCCTCACGTTTCTACTCCCCCCCCCCCCCCTTGTAAAAAAACAGATAGGGGGGAGGAGGAGTCGGGTGAGAGGGAAAAAATGAAGTCAATTATACGACATCCCGGCTCTCCTAACCTCCCTCCTCTCCCTTCTGCTACTACTACAGCTGGTGGCTCCTCATGCGCCGCGGCGCTGCGAAGCCTTCACCGGGCACACCGGCTGCAGTCCGTAGGCATGTCGGCTGGGGGCTCTGACGGGACGGCGGAGAGGCCAGCAGGTAGGGGCTCCGGCTTGACGACGTTGTGGTTATTGTGGGTAGCTTAGCTTTGCTTCTTTTTAATATATTCTTTGGGGCAACTACTTTTCTCCTTCAATTAGCTGAAAAAATAAATTAAGCACTAGTGGTATGCCTTCTTCCACGAATTAGTTCTGAACTTCTTTCGTCCCTTGACATGTTTTTTCTTTAACGGCAAGTTAGGTTATATTGCGTGAAGGTTACTTAAAAAAAGAACTTTACAGGGACATTGAGGACATTGAGAGTAGACGACCTCACAGCGGCAATAACGATAACACTTAACCGAGTGGCAGCAGTCGCAGTAGCCTTGCTGGACCAGCCGCTACAGTGCGTCGCACCGGTGTCTCGAGCAGCTGGCACCTGCCTCCTAAAACCGAACGCGTCGGCTGGCAACGCGCGTGACACCCTCTCCATTCATTCCCGTACTATGTGGTGCTCGTTTCCAGGGAGGGGGACGCGAGCGGAGGGGGGAGTTTTGTCGGCGAACTTCACACTCACGATAAAAAC